CGATCCTCGCTACTTTGATATCCTCGTCAGTTCCATCCGCCTGTAGTTGAAACGATGCTTCCCAGGTAGGTCAGTGAAGGAGGTTGTTTCTTTCAGGTTCCTCCCATTTATGCTGGCTGATTATTGTCTGTTGTTATTGCTGTTGGTGTTGGCCAGGAATCTTCATCATCTCTGTTTTCTCTATGTTCACCTGAAGTCCTATCTTCTCCGGATGCTTTCTCTGCCAACTCGCTGCTTTTCACTTGTATATCTTCCAGTTTGTGAAAAATCAGACATGCGTCATTATCGGAGAAGTCCAGATCCTCCAAGTTTTTTGTAATGCCTGTCTCCTGATTGTCCACTGTCTGTCGCATAATCCAATCTACTGCAATCAGGAAACTCACTGGAGAGAGTAGACAGGCAGCTTGTCTTACTCCCATCTTTACTTCGAAGGGTTCCGTAAGTTTCGCGTTGTGGATTAGTTGACATGCAGCATTGTCGTACAACTTTTGGATGAGATGTATAATTGTCGGCGGCACCGCATACTAGCAAAGTAGTTGCCAAATCACCTCTCGTTCGACGCTGTCGAAGGCCTTTTCAAGCAAAGTACTATAGAGACACAATTTTACCAACTATATCTCACAGAAGTAAAGCGTGACGGATAGAATTCAGTCTACACCAACACAAAGGAATAGACACACACACTATACTAGTTACTAACAAGCTTTCAATCAAAGTATCCAACACAGTCTCCAACGGGCGATCAATCACGAGTCCACATAGCACAGTGATAACGTCTCTGACTGCAGCACACTGGGTGATGTAGGTCTGAATCTCAGGAAGGACATGAGTCCCTTCAAGATCCAATCAAAATAGAATTAAAAACCACTAAAGTGAAGGCTTAGTCACCTTTTCATGCTCCAAGATGGTTGTATATCAACTAATTGCATCTAGATTACATATCTTCAAAGAGAACGTATCTGACTGACCTTAGGCGAAAGCCGTCTACACTCTAAAGCCGGCTAATAAGACAACCTGTGTTTGGGCATGGGAGGAATTAATCTATAAGCTATACTTCGAAGAGGGAAAGAGACAACATAATATTAAATATCTCGATTAATCAATTTATTGCTAAGATTAACTTTATACGGAATTGAATTTTCAGAATATATATATATATATTGCAGCAATTTTATTTCCTATACAAATAAAATAGTGCGTCAGTGGTCCAGCAGTAAGACTCTCACCTACGACGCCACACGTCGTCTGGGGTTCGGTCCCCGGTGGACGCACTCCTAAACCGCTCTAAGCTGTTAGAAAAGCCGGTAAAGAGGGAAGGTCGGACATCAGGCTAGCAACCCTGTTTTCCGCAAGAATAAAACTACTGCTATCGAAACTTCAAAGTTCTAACTTGAAGCCCTATATGTTGTACTCGGGATGTAAAGGAACAAAACATTAATAATACAAATAGAACCAAAATAGGCAACCACGAACACTGAAGTTGCTGAAAATGTTAATGTGGATCATAAAAGTGTAAAAGTGATTGCTGGGAGAGAGTAGCTGTTCACTTACAGATTAAATCAATAAGGTTTTCAGCTCTTATTCAACGTTTCTACCTCCATACAAAACTCGTGCTATGTCGTGTATGGTGGGATTTTCGTATTTAACACTAAGAGCATAGAGTTCAATGAAATTGCTTCTGTGTTTTCTTGAAGAAATACAGGGAAGAATATTCGAATAAAATGAGTGCTCAATATTCAACAAGATAACCTTAGCAGAATGCTTGCTTGTAGCAAGTACAAAAACTCAACCATACTCTAGTTAGCTCGTGTTCAGTTTGATAAAGAAAGCATTAGGCGTGAAACTTACAACTTATTAAATAGTCAATAGAACAATTGGATCTCGTCTTTCCAATTCATATCATTTATAGGTACAACGTTTTCTTTCTTTCTTTTCCTTTTCTCTTTTTTTGTGCTGTTTCGTTTCTCTATTCCTTACAAACTCTACTGAAAGCATTCTTCCTTGTTCTTTCACACCCTGTATATCTCGACCTTTTTGTTACCGCTTACGTCAGTAAATGTGCTAGTATCTACTTTTCTAACACCTTCAAACATTCTGTTCACTTTTGGCTTTCCTACCGATATGCTAATATGGTGTTGTCAAAATCAGCTGAGACTACTCATAATCTATGTAGAATTTTATTTATTGTTAATGCACAAACTGGATGTAATGCTGTAGTGAAATGCTGAGAATTCCATTCTGTATCACAAGTACTATTTTGGAATAAAGCAAATTATTATTTTGATTACAGCTTGATTCCACACCGTATTTTTGGTATAGGTGTGAAATATTCAGCATGTGATATTGGTAGCCCAAATTTTGCAGGTCGACCATAGATATCAGGTGTGCGTCGACAGGAGATCGAACACCCCAGACCATGTGCATGATCGACGAGAGTCATAACCGCTGTGCCTCTCAACAGCCGTTGAGCAAATATAGCGAAGGAAAAGGAGATGAAATGAATAAACCCTGAGGAAACTTCTGGGTGACATCATACGCCAGGTCCAAGAGCGTGAACCATGAACCATACATGAAACGAAAAGTTGGGGCATGCGATGGACCTGAGGGTAATACATGGAGGAAATTGTATGAGAAGGAAATGAAAGTTTACGGGCAATCATGAAACCAGCTAAAAAGGACCGCGGATAACATGATCAAGTAGAGATATGCTCTGGAAGATCTATGTACCACTAGGAACGCAGAGGAAGTTATACTAATCAACAACAGTGACAGATTGTTGAGTCAAATGAATACCACTAATCCGCTTGCGAATGGACGCTGAGTTATATTTTATATCTAGTTCAAATGAACTCAGCCCACCCACCCACATACCCCAAACGTACACCTGTTGACTGAATATCACTATCAAAAATTTCCACACTGCATCAAACAGACTAAAGGATAGACCATGATAAAACTTTCCACAAAATTATATCCCTTCAAATTGCTACAATTCGATAAAACTACACACAAAAGATATGAATGAATGAATGAATATATACACTGCCTAGTGTGAACAACTTCCAATCATGCTATCAACCCTCTATTCGTAGAATTACAATGATACTCCTGTAAGAAGACCTGGAAGTAAGTAAATGCCTCACACCAATGGTCCTATATCCAGCAGATTTATGTGTGGGTTTCAGCATCCACCCCCCACCAGTATTTCTCAAACCCAAACCCAGTTCTACAATGGCTGACAACTGTTTGCCGAAGAAGATGGTGTTTCAGTGTAAGGGTATACATCTCCCGGCAGCCACAACTAGTGAAAAATTATTTTTCTTCGATATGACTTATTATACAATCCTAGGTAACTTGCAAAGTACTATTATTATTATCATTATTATTATTATTTCCTTTAATTCCTAGAGGAACACATAGGGCTTCAGTCGCGCATCTTCATTGCGTTCGGTTCTCTCCAACAGTTTTCACCTGACTTCACACGCTTTCATCTCCTCTTCACATGACCTCCTCCAAGTCACCCTTGCACGGACGACCAACTCACCGCTTCCCATTCGGGTTCCACTCGAGCAATGGCTTGTCTAGTGATGTCACTTGATGGTTTCCTCAGAGTATGGCCAATCTATCTACCTCCATTTCTTCCTGCCTATTTGTTTCACAATCAGTTCCTGGTTGGTTCGCTCACTGCCAGAGATCCCTGTTGCTGATCTTTTCTGGCCATCTGATTTTGAGTATTACCGAGCGAAGACAGCTGTTAATGAAGGTCTGTAGTTTGTTTGAGGCGCTCTTTGAGACGCGCCGAATCTCTGATCCGCATACACTAGCACTGACTTCACATTGGAGTTAAAAATCTGGATTTTATTTTTGATGCTGAGTGCTGTTGACCTCCACACAGACTTGAGAGTAGTGAAAGCTTATCTTCCTTTTCCGATCCTCGCTACTTTGATATCCTCGTCAGTTCCATCCGCCTGTAGTTGAAACGATGCTTCCCAGGTAGGTCAGTGAAGGAGGTTGTTTCTTTCAGGTTCCTCCCATTTATGCTGGCTGATTATTGTCTGTTGTTATTGCTGTTGGTGTTGGCCAGGAATCTTCATCATCTCTGTTTTCTCTATGTTCACCTGAAGTCCTATCTTCTCCGGATGCTTTCTCTGCCAACTCGCTGCTTTTCACTTGTATATCTTCCAGTTTGTGAAAAATCAGACATGCGTCATTATCGGAGAAGTCCAGATCCTCCAAGTTTTTTGTAATGCCTGTCTCCTGATTGTCCACTGTCTGTCGCATAATCCAATCTACTGCAATCAGGAAACTCACTGGAGAGAGTAGACAGGCAGCTTGTCTTACTCCCATCTTTACTTCGAAGGGTTCCGTAAGTTTCGCGTTGTGGATTAGTTGACATGCAGCATTGTCGTACAACTTTTGGATGAGATGTATAATTGTCGGCGGCACCGCATACTAGCAAAGTAGTTGCCAAATCACCTCTCGTTCGACGCTGTCGAAGGCCTTTTCAAGCAAAGTACTATAGAGACACAATTTTACCAACTATATCTCACAGAAGTAAAGCGTGACGGATAGAATTCAGTCTACACCAACACAAAGGAATAGACACACACACTATACTAGTTACTAACAAGCTTTCAATCAAATTATGCAATACAGTCTCCAATGGGCTATCAATCACGAGTCCAAATAGCACAGTGATAACATCTCTGGCTGCAGCACACTGAGTGACGTAGATTGAATCTCAGGAGGGACATGAGTCCCTTCAAGATTGTATGTAGGCCCTCCTGTGACTGGTGAGTTCCAACTAACATGAAACCTCGGTCCAAAGCCTCCTGCTGACTAACTTCAACCATCTAATATTGACAAAGCTTTACATTACTGTTAATGTAACAATAATAGTCTTAAACAATAAGTGAATTACACACGATATAAAAAGAACTAGCATTACAATGATAAATTTATACTGTATCTTTAAACTATACATATAGTGATCAACTTACCTTTCCAGTCGAATGTGTTTGTGGAATGAGCTGCCTCATCTTCATGCTTGTGTTTACACACTCCGGCATTTAATTCATAGACTATAGTAGGCAGTAGTGTCTCAAATTGTTTTTCATTCAAGCGAGATTGATTAACAGAAAAGAAATCCAACATTTCCTGTGTTGTTAAACACTATATAAATATAGAGGAGGAGAAGAAAGCAGAAGAAGAGTTATTACTAATACTAGAACAGACTAGAGGGGTGGTTAAACAAATATGCTAAGAGTAGAAATGCATTCGTCTAACTAATTTACTGGTAAAAGGTTTAGTATTAAAAAAAATTCAAAAACTCATTATATACACCACCTTCCGATGGATCATATTCAGTGTGAAAGGTTAGATTTGTCGCCCACCATGGTAATGGTTTCGATCCTTCTATATTCCATTTGATATATAAGAGATGATTTGACAGCAATTACATCCACAAGGCAGGTAATATCCACAAACTAGTTAACGAGCTAAGACCCGGTTTATTTGCCTACCCTCTAATATAGGGAGTAGATTTATTTATTCATTTAAGCACAAAGTCCATAGGACATAGGTATCTAGAGATGCACTACCTGGCAGGGATTATCGCTCTATCTCCCGTGTGAAGTGGTATAACAAGGTGAGCAATATTGAGGTTAGGCATCGGTCGAGTGCTAGGTAAGGAGGGGAAATCAATCGACGAGGCTGTGAAGTTACATTGACTGAAATGGTTAGGACATGTGTCATGCAAACTTGACTAGTCATTCATCGCCTCCCTCGACACCGGGCAATGAAAGCCCCTGACATAGTATCCATCAGGTTGGAAAGTAGCTAGTGGTGAGTGGTAGTCAGACCGAAACATGCCTACATCAGTCAGTGAAATCCACAGCAGTTAATTTAAATCAGCAAGCCAGTCACGTAGACTTGCTGACTGGTTGGAGTCCGCGGAATGGTAAGAGCCAACGGCACCTGGAGACAATTGGTGATACGAATTAAAATAGTTTTCGGTGATGGCTGGTGCAGATGCATTCGCTCTTCGTGGTTTGTCATATCCAATAAAACACTATTGTACTTCCATATTAATACTCTTTTGAATCTCTCCTTATTCTCTCCTCTTGCTTGGTGTGCTACATGGAGGGAAAGCGGCAACTCGAACTGCTGCACATCTATGCAAAGTTCTACGGTGAAACCAGTCAGTCAGTTAGTCTCCCTGCCTTCGTAGGTTGTTTGGAGTATAGCAAGCAGAAATGTTGTCTCTGTGCAATGTTCTCTGTCGAAAACTCAATCACTCAGTCAGTCAATAAAAGAACCATCTTAACTTTGAGATACACCTATAAAAAATGGTTGCATACATGGACAAACGAAGTCAATATCTCTTGAGTCTAAACTCCTAAAATAATAGCGGAAATCTTGGACAAACCTAACCATTAAGAGTTAATTCTACGCAGGTAAACGTGATTATAAACTATTGAATGAATCAGAACATAAAATATGAACCAGATTAAGCTTGTCTGCAATGATGGCTACAAAACAATTCCCACTTCAATTCGTCAAAACATAATAATAAGCTTGAATTAGCTATATATATAAGATACAAACAAACAATCTGAGAAACTCATGATACCTGATACTTTTTCATCAAAACAGATTAACTACAAGTTGTAGCATATTATGTACACATAACAAAAGCAATTTCGCCTTGGAACTAGGTCTAATAAGACTTATATCATATATACATAGTGTCGAAAAGTATCAAACTTTTCAAGCACAAACCTTACTTTTTATGAATTATTCTCAATGTTACACTCTGAACAAAGCGTCAAAACAAAGCCATAGTTTGTTACTAACTAATGAAATAATTTGATTGCCACAAGCAGAAAAGTTTTAAAAAATCTCAAGACACACTTAATTGATAAAGGTTAACAATACCAACTAAGGAGTATACTGGCTTAACCAATTGACTGTCAAGTGATGAGTTTCCAGTTAAAACTTCACTTTATCTACTTCAGTCAGGGGAGTCGCTTAGTCTTATGAATCCTCGAACATAAACTACTATTGCTCTCCAACTAGAAAATAAGCTTGTATAACTATGAATAACTAGATACCTATACTTAAATAAGGAGAACTGGAACTCTGTATATAGTTAGTGAATGATATGCATAGTGTTCAACAGTTCAGTTACCCACCAAATGTTCGCATACTTTATACTGATACCTTATTTGACTGGTTTATGATAATAAACTCTAAGTTACACTACTAAAAAATCACAGCTATGCACATCCTTAAATATACCTTAAATATCCCCTGATAAGTATGAAATATTTCTTTATTTGCTCTGTTTTTCATTCAGTTTTATAACATTTTTCGACATTTTCATTACGTGGCTTTTAATTTTTGCGCTCTTTCCTCTTAATACGCAGATATGTATATTTTATTCGCCACAAGTAAGGTAAGGACTCAGTTATTAAACATATATTTTAGCAGTCGATAAAAGTATATAATGACCTACTGTGAATTCTTTATAAAACAGAAAACCAATCAAGCCAGCACAAATGACTATGAAAACAAACCAGCACAAACATCACTAACTACATCTTAAGTCATGTGAACACGAATCATTTGAAAGAAACACACTTATTTTGATAGTTATGGAAGATTACAACAGACACACTTCAAATATTAGCTTTCTATAGTTGGCATATCAGGAAAATTGAATGGTATTGTTTCCACCCTCATAAGTCTTAGGAATAGACCTTCAGTACTCCTAAGAAACTTCTAAGACAAATAAGGTTGTCTAGACTCATCCCGTCTCTGATAGTTCCTCAGTGTATACCAGCCTATAGGAGAAACTGTCGTTTCGCATGCTACTTAGAAAGAAATACGAAAAATGTGCAATTGACCTTGGATCTGAGGCAGTTAACTGAATAACTGACGGGCTGACTAACCGAGTTTCAACACATAACTTTGTACAGAAGTGTAGCAGTTCAAGCTGCTACATGTAAAGTATCGCACAAATATGGAAGGAAAAACTCAAAATATAATTAACGAAAATATACAGGAGAAAGAATTACATGGAGAATCATGAGGACTTAATGAATCCTGGATATTACAAAGAGTGAATGTATTTGCACCATTAAGAACGATTTTGAGTCACATCAACCACTAGTTCTTAGCATCTTGGGAGTTCTAGCGTGGCACATTAACATATCTAGTGTGAGCACTTGTTTATCAAAAAAACCTTTGTTAATACTTAGCACTCAAACAGACAAATAACTCTAACAAAATCAGAAAAAGAAACTAGGGAGAGGGATAAACAAGAAACACCAGAAAGCAAAGTGAGAAAAAAGGTAGAACGGTGAGAGGTGGATTACAAAGACTTTTTGTTGCGAGAGGAATATGAAGCCTGAAAACATGAACCATTGTATGTTTTTACATTGCAGTTTCCAACTGTCTTACAATCTTAAACCTCATTTCCTACGTTGTTCAAAAAAGACGGACAGTTTTAAACCCCATCCTCTTCTGCATCAGATGATAAAGTCAGTGGTTCACTGTTATTTTAAGCCTATCTTATAGAATGGTTAATCTTTTTTGTGGACATGAATTCTAATCACGACACTACTTACTACTACTTGTATAGAAGTTATTTTAAGCTTTTATGGTGTTTCTAGTGATGTCAGCCCCTAAATTCTCCTTATATTCCACAATCAGCGTCCGAGAACTGATTCAACTGCAAGCTAGTGCTAAAATACACCTTTGGCACATTCAAGATGGGAAAAGCATTAGAGTATCCCTACATGAATACCCTGTACTTCAAAGATGGAAAACGCACCCACACACTCGCTGTTTGTCAGAACCTTCAGTGGGCTCTTCATTTTCTCAGAATTTTCAAGTCGTAATACTGTTTTATTCGCAGTAAACGATGAGCAGGGAACGATTGGAGTCGACTTCAAACCCTGTAAATTAGGGATAAAAAAGTGTTAGATGCAGGAATGCACCCGGTAAATACTTGATGCACTCAACTACGACAGTTCATCGCAATTCCATACGCAAGATTAGACATGTAGTGGGAAAATGACAGGTGGTAAAACCACAGCCAGTGGTTCACTAGGACAAGTCACAATTAATATTGGTAAAATACTAGACCTAGCATTCAGTTCACTGTTTGGGGAAATGTGGTCCTTGATTTAATTTTGCTTATTCGATTACCTTCGACATGACAACTATCCTGGAATAACAGATTTGTAGCACATGTGGGGAGTTCAAACAAGCCTGCACTCAAAATACTACCTAGAAGGAGAATGAAAACTTGGTAATTAAATCAAATAGCTTGGAACATAACCAAATCAGAATTAAAACTATCTGCCCTTCCCCTTCCATCTGCAGAGGCTTTACAAGTTGAACATTGACTGTAATTACTGTTTCGACAGCTGTTATGCACACATACTATCTGTATCTATTATTATAGACACTACACACCATGCCACGAACTCCCAACAGATTGACATATGCACACACAGTTACGAAAATGCATGTATTAATACAGCTAGGATTTTTTAACCATCTAACACAGAACTGAATCTGCCCGTCTCCTTATCTGTCGTTTTAAGTCTATTCATCGCACAGGATAAAATTTGGAATACCTATTTGGCCTGATTCTACGGAAGAAAACCGAAAAAAATGGTTTTCTACTAAAGCGCCAACCACTAATCCAGTAAAAGGTTAGAACATATATCAAAGGCCCGGTTAATACTTTATCTATGACATATCACATCTCAAAGAACTAGGTAGAGAACACCTATCATCACTTTTCGGTTTAGATGAATAGATACCCATTCAACTTAAATTAGGTATGAACAGTCATGCACACAATTAAATCTACTACCTAACTTAAATGCATGTCGGTGCTTATAAAAGTATCCAAAATGTACACCACCTCAGAAGTACATACTAGCAGATAATGAGCCTTTTCTCGAAAAAAACACAAATGAAACCTTCCATGAAACTGATGATACACAAATAATACAGAGAATACATCTGTCCTTGGTATTTTTAAAAGCCAAAACTGCTTGAGGAAAGTTTAAAATTCCCAAACTAGAACGTGCAAGTACTCAATATACTTCAGTGAGATCCAAATGATGGCAGGAGTAATTTAAATGCTGTAACACGATATCATCAGAATTAGGAAGGTTTACTGAATTATAGAAAATGACACAAAAAACGCCAAAAAATGAATAATTCCCACTTAGTATTAGATTTACAGCACACAAGATAAAAATTCGTTTTCCCTGGTGGGCTATTTGCATGAAAGGAGGTAAGTGGTGGTATTTCTCACAAGTTTTCAACCCCGAAAAACTGAGTGACAACACCAAACCACCTTCGACTAGATTACTGAGAAGGTGCGCAATATCTTAACAACAGGAATCCAATTAAGCAGGGACTACCTTATGGTTATACAAAATAAAGTATGGAAATCACGATGGAATGACTTACGACTTTGTTTTCAGGTCTGCTGGCTGACATTGCCATTTCATGCACCGAACACTTGATTAGTTTTAAGAAACAGCTTATGCAGGATAGAGAAATGGACTTAACATTTTTAAATGCGTGACTTAACTTCGACGTCATATAAGTGATAGAGCCAGTGATACACAAAGGAAAACTAACGAACTACACATATGAAGCAACCCACAATCAAAATAACCACCCACGCTGCAAAACATTGTGTTTTATTAAAGAACTACTGCGATAATTCCTTACAAGACTCATAAAAATCAGGAAATCAATTACTTACCTTGTTCTCTTTAGACGCATGTTTGTCCGAATGTAATCCATCGTTAAAAATATGTAAATTTTTGAGCAAATGTGACAAACTATCTTTATCCATGTACTGACTACCATTTGTGAGTGATGAAAACAGAAGTTTCAGATGATCGTTAGGCGAGAAATGAGGTATATTACAATAGACACATGGTACACGGGAACCAACTAAGGTGTATATTGCCAAGCACAAACATATATTTCTGTGAATATGATGACAAAGTCCAACTCCACACATTATTGCTGTACACTGTGGTAAGAACAAACTACAGTTTATCGGTCAGATTTTGTATCCAAATGTCCTACTTAGGGGCTGGAACGCATGAACCCGAAAAATTGTAATTTACGCGCCAAAACCCTGTACCAAAACCAATTGTACTGTTCATGAACCGAAGACACACAACAAAATGTTATTTCAATATCCAATATGCATAATCTATTAGGCTGACAAGGCTGAATGAAACATTGCTCCTTGACTAAAGCTCAAGTTTTATTCAAAGATTCATATGCAAGAACGAATTTCCTCGGATTATTAGTCACGGTGCACGCAGAGATCTTTGTCTGTAACAGCATGAGTATACGACAGCGGAAAACCTGTGTTAATAACAGCTAGGTGTCTGAAACGGCAAAATCAACTCCTTGGCTGTGAACAATTCCTAATACTCGCCACCGCAATATCGATGGCTATCAGTCGATCTGACACCAGTCTACCAACCGAAAGCTAGCACTTCCACTACTCTTCGATCACTAAATAAGTTTCGTGCAAAAATATTACTCACAAGCATATTACTGTATTCACAAAGTGCCTTGCTTGCATTTTACGGCCATACTCCCTTCTGTCTTTTAATATAACTTTATACTTACGGTATGAAAAACTATTTGAGGTTTTAGTGCCTCTATCCCATCCCAAAGTAATGTGTAATTACATGGAAGTATACGCACCTCAGTGGTCTAGATTTTCGCTAGATTTTAAACCCGCATGACCCTTATCTACTAGCTCCACCAATGTAACTGACCTCTTAGTCCTTATGTAGTATGTGATGGGGCTACGCATTGTTTTGTTTTTTCTTGAGGCCCTACTGCATGGCTTTGCAGGAATAAAAACAGCCTATTTGAGTAGCACCTTATTTGGCCACAGCCAGTGTATAATCGCTGGCCAGAATATTACGGTAAGCCATGTATATTTCGAATGTACATTTTCCATTTGATGTGTTATGTTATTCCTTTCTTTTAAACCTCAAGAATGATGCCCTTTATGGATTACCTTTATCCCTACATTTTTAACTTATTTCACATCTTCAGAACATACGATATTTCTGTAAGCCTACATCACTATTTAGCCTGAGTGAATAAGTAACGTAATTTCCACCTGATAATTGCCGTAACGAATGAACATGTCACTTGGGTTCACTCAGGTGTAGAAAGTCGAAAGAGGTCTCGTAATGTACTCGGGACCTTCAAGATGACTTCACTAGTAAACATTAAGACTTCTACTGTTCCAACAAGCACTCCAATTTAAAAAGCACATGACTCGTTTTTGACAAAGTCAACTCCCATGATTGCATGATGCTTCTTGGCCTTGCCCCCTACAGTTATTGGTGTCAGCAGGATTGAACTTCCCATTTAATCCACCATAAATGCCTCCAGGCTTTGACTTCATCTGTTTGGAGTCCTTTAACGGCTCAGCATCAGTCATCTTTCTACCTGCATTTCATCCGGATATCTGATGCTGGCTACAATTCCTGGGGCTAATACATCATAACTAATACCTGTATATTATTATAATCCTCCTTCAGGCAGTGCGTACTAACTGCTTAAGGGTGGGGCTAAGACAATTGAAGTGTATTCGGCAAGCACTATTTGAGTGTTTGCATCCAGTTTTGCTCTATTAGGACCCTTTGTACTGTGCTGCTGTAGGCAATCTAAGAAATTTCTGAAGTCGGTTAACCTTCAATCGTTTCGACTTCAGAGGTCAGCGAGTTGGTTAACACTGGACTGTGCGTAACCTCAAATGACAATCTGAAGAGCAACAGTGACAAAGGCCAGTAAGAAATAGCAATTTACAATACATTAATTTTTCGAACACATTTTCAAACTGTCTGGTAATTATAATTGCCAATGCGATATTCAATGCGTGAAACCAAATGAAAATATCAACAAACGTCTTGCCTCTAAACGCGCAATAGGAAACTGTCAATGTAGTTGAAGATTGAACGATCAATTCATCGTTGTTTGCTCAAACCCAACTCCTCCATATTTTTCGCGGGAGTCATCAATCCGGCCGTCATCATCTCACCGTTCGCCGTTCAGTGAAAGACAGAAAACTATCAGAAGTATTATCGTGATTTATTGTTATAACATTTATTCTTAGACCTTGTGTGTAATAACCTTATTTTTGGTTACACATTGGCGTAAGAATAAAGGATACTCAGGTCGCCAATCTGTGTTCTGGTTTCTCGCGTAAGTTATTACAAATAGCTTCTGAAGGACTTCCAAGGTCAGCATGAGGTCCAGCGTAGTAAGACCTGGACACTGAAAGTCGGCTGACACAAATAGTAACTAGAAACTTGAAAGGCCTTTATACGCGCAAGCCAGTTCGACAATTGTTCTCTCATACACAGTTGGCTTATCCTCACTAAACTGACCATTGACATGTTTCCTTTCAAACGGACTGATACTAGCTTAGTCACAGCACAAGACACATGACTTCATGGGCATCACCCTCAATGTGGACGACAACACCAACGACGACTGATTCATACCAGTAGATGAAATTAGCGGTGCATCAGAAGCTGTTTTCGCTCGGCTTTTAGAAGGTTGTCTAACTGTAAGATTACCACCACTGCTGTCTTTTATTATTAGCTCCGGTTTAGCACTAGCATCTGATGATAGGTGGGCTACATGCTGATGATTTACACCGGCGGTCTCACAAGTATCCATGCCTTCTGCAACTGCATCTGCATTTAATTTTACCTAACGTTCAAGTTGTACAGAACCTTCATTCAACTTAGCAGTAGTAGGCATTCCCCTCATCTCATCATGATCAACCGAAGACAAATCTGCACTATCATGACCACTGTCACAAGTATCCACTTTACCTCCATTTGTATTATCAACTTCATCATTTGAGAACTCTTTAATAACAGTGGTAGACAATTTCGGTTCCTCCTCACAAATCCTTAAAGGTTTGATAACTTAACTCTTACTAGTAATATCTTGTAAACTTTTGGAGTCAGAACTGGACTCTGAAACTGTAACTCTCTTCTCCTGCACAAACTGCGGTGTCGTCTGTGACGTTCCATTCAACAATGGCTTACCAGTTGCAAATACAGGCTTCTTCACCACACCATTAATGTCACACGGTTCGGAGTCAGACCATGATTTCAAATTTAGCTTACCACTAAACTTGGTCACTTCGTCACAGTTCGCCTTTGTGTGCACTTCTTGCAAACGTGTAAAACACAACCGTGTTTGTCTCGCAACTTGTAACCAATCTTCATTATAAATTATTTAAATTAATCCCAGCGTGTTAAGAAAATCAAAACAGATTGATTCCACACTGTATTTTTGGTGCAAGTATGGAATTTTCAGCATGGATATCGGTAGCCCAAATTTTGCAGGCCGACCATAGATATCAGGTGTGCGTCGGCGGGGGTTCATATTTAGTCAGTTTAAAGTTCCTATTTTCCCTAGACGGCGAGACATTGACATTGTCATGCTTAACATCACACACATCATTGCATATAACGGGTAACTCAGCATTACTTACTTTCCTGCCTGCATCAAGACGCTTGGTCCCTTCTTTAACCCAGAAATCACTGAACTTGACCAAAAATTCCAAAAACGTTCCAGATAATACTTGTCCAAATAAGACTTGCAGACACCAGGAAAGACGAACACAAACTCTCATAAACTGTCACTGTCCAGCTCTCACGCGCTGGACCTCATGCTGACCTTGGAAGTCCTTCAGAAGCTATTTGTAATAACTTACGCGAGAAACCAGAACACAGATTGGCGACCTGAGTATCCTTTATTCTTACGCCAATGTGTAACCAAAAATAAGGTTATTACACACAAGGTCTAAGAATAAATGTTATAACAATAAATCACGATAATACTTCTGATAGTTTTCTGTCTTTCACTGAACGGCGAACGGTGAGATGATGACGGCCGGATTGATGACTCCCGCGAAAAATATGGAGGAGTTGGGTTTGAGCAAACAACGATGAATTGATCGCTCAATCCTCAGCTTTTTTGACATGGTCATTTTTATGCAATCCAGGAAAGTATAAGTTCGTACAGTTGTGAACAATAGGTAAAATACACGAGTTGACAAACTGTAAGGGGAGGGGCTGGGTTATACCTGAGTTCCTTGACTACTTAATGTGAACTTTGAGATGAAATATTCTTTTAGAAATTCTCTAAGACATGGGAATATCAGGATCGGTCAGAAGAAAGAATTAATCCAAGAAACCTAACTTCAAATTTGATTCCTAAATCAGTGTCATCAATTTCTGACATTTGGAAGTATTTAGCTGAGGGCTGTTAGACGAAGACCATTTGCTAATTGCTGATCGAATGCTGTCCATCTTAGTACAGTGTAGCTGGCAGTTAACAGACATTGAAATATTTAGATCATCCGCGTACTTGAAAAAGTTCTTTTCGTATGCATTCGTACAAACTAAGTTCATCAAACAAAAATACAATTGGTAATGGACGACTTTCCCCTGACCTACAGTGTACTGCTTTCTCCTTGATAAATAAGAATGAAGCCATCTAACAATCCAACATTCAGTTTGAGTTTCAGCAAGCTTATCTAACAGAATATCTCGAGGTACTGAGTTGAAAGCAGATGTTTAGTCTAGGAAGGCGCAGCGAATTTAACCTCATTTTCTATACTAGAGAAAATCTTGTGATACAAGACTGCAGCTGTATCTAAAGTACGTCTACTGTGTTTGTAGGCGAACTGTTTGGGATCGTTAAAGGCTATAGGTGAAGGTTGAAGATTAAGTAAGAGTGACTTTTCATATTTCTTGGGAAAGGAGAGATAACAGCAATATGTCTAAATTTAATAATTTTCCAGTAGATGACTTAGGTGTAGGTGCAATATTAATGTCCTTCCAAACGGCTGGCACCATATTTCTGGGAAAAGATTCACTAAATGTGTCCATGAGAAGATAATACAGGATGTCTGCACATTTTTTAGCAATAAGGCTATGCGCGCTATCTGAACCAAGG